AAGGCGGAATTAAAAAAAAAACACAAAATCAAAATCAAAGTAAAATAATAAAATAAAAAGGCATTAATAACAAAAGTAATAAAAAATAAAATTAAAATAAGTTTATAGCTATCAGATTTTAATCAGATTGACGTAACTACAAATAACCTCGCTCTCAGGAGCTGAGAAATAACTAATAAAGTACTATTAATAAGAATGAAATGATTATTTTTAAATACAATTTCAAAAATATTTCTCACAAAAAATGTTATTGTATAAAGCGCTTTTATCTGTGTAATCAGAACTATTGAGAACGTTTCCACTTTCTGGAATTACGTTCTCAGTCAATGGGAATTCCCAGTGCTATAGAGGGCGTTGTATAAAAATTCCCGTAAACCAAACTCCTATGTAGGCTTAATATCTAGCCATCCGTTTTTTTCCATACGTAGTTTTATTTTCTCCTTCGAGATGAATGAAAACGGTTTAATATATTTGTTTTAGTTATACTAGTACAGTATTTTAAAGCGCGGTGGTCGTCGCGCAGCGCGTGTCTGATTTTCATGTAAACAAACAATGTATTATACATGCGTTGTGTACGTCGCTATGAGTCCGATCTTACATTATCCACGGTTACTAAAAAAGAAACCATGCATTATCGAGCATTCTAGTGACGATGCACTGCTGTGACGTCATGGTGCGTCGATAAACCGGGCGATGTATCACAGCGTAAGCAGTATTCAAATGGACAACTCAGTCTGATTGGGTAGTCTTTTGTCATTTAGAATAATCACTTTTGACTAAAATAACACTCCGCCATCTTTCATATTACAAAACGCGCCAAATGTGAAGAGATTTAAAGGACGGTAGACAAAGATGGCGACTTTGGCTGTTGTGCAGATCAACAAGTACAAACTGAGATGTTACCAAGCTTTGATTAAATATTTTAGGTGATTGGAAGGTATCGAAAGAGTCACCGGCGGTAATTAATGCAAGTGGCGCCCAGATGAAACCTCACACTTGTGATTTCCATTAGAAGAGCACATTGGATTGTGGGAAAATCAATGTTTATCAACAAAAATATCGCACATGCGCAGCGCGACGACCACCGCTCTTTAAACATTCCACTTGATTTAGCACGTTCATCCAGTACAGCGTACACATGCGACAGTATAATAATTATGAATCATTTTAGGCTGCAGGGGGGGGGGATTTCTGATGCAAATATTTTGAGAAGACTGCAATTATCATATATATGGTATATATGATAATATAAAATTCTTCACCTGTGAATCGCCTGATTTTATTACTTCGAAAGATTGTGTGCTTCACGTAAGAGTACATACTTGTACATAGTTGATTTCTATCAAAACCTAGATTTTCGTTGTTTTTGGTGGTGCTGTCCTTTCCTGATCGGAACAGATGGAGTGACGACACATCAACCGTAAGTTGCACTTTGCAGGTAAAGTTTTCAAGTAATGCTTAGGTAAAACGTATTTAAGTGGAGTTAACGTGGCGGGAGAGAAGTGTGTAAATTATTGTGAATTATACATAACACATTATTTAAATTATTTTTTCGTGAAACGGGTTTGTGAGTTGAATTACAGAAGAGTAGTTCCAGTGGGTGGGGAGGTGGGGGGGACTGACTGTACGTAATTGCCCTGTATAGATGTTGTGTCGTGTGATAGGAGTTTAATTAGCATATGTAATTAGTGTTACTACATGTATTTCTAGTTTGCGTGGTAATTATATTGATAACTGGTGCATCTTGGTCGTGTGGACGTGCTTGAATATACGCTACTAGTGGTTGCAAGCAGTTGCAGGCACTAATATATCTACCCTGATTGGTTACTGGTGGCACTGGCCGTGTTAGAAGCTCTGTGGACTTGATTTGGATGGTGGGTGAAGTATCGTCTATGCCAAGCTTTGAGGAGCGTGACAGAACACAGCATGACCACGATATGATATCGATGCCGTAAATTTTACCACAGTTTTTGCTTTGCATTAACCCCCTAACCCAAGGGTCATGTATGGCCAATTCGCGATTTGTGCATCGACTTACTCAGAGAACTTGTGCCCTTCACATAGATGGACAGTAGATTTTTAATTTCTGTATATATATTAATGTGATATTTTCTTGTGCACAAGTTTCATGTGAATTCCGTAAATGAATATGTATTTGTATAGAAGGTTTAGAAAATAAAATATATAGTTTGATAAAGTTTATGCACGTTGTACAACACCACCCATTGTGACCGAGTTTGTGACATTCACTACGATGTTATGGTAAATGCACTATATAACATGATAAATGAACTCATTGAATGGACTATCACAGGACTGTGGTACTGTGTACCATGGTTGTGGCTTTCCATAATACAGTATACATTTTCTTGTTTACTCGTGTGATAGTCACGGTTGGGACTATATTAGCTTGATATGTATAACTGTTGTTGGAGAACAGGTCAACAACATCTAGGAACCAGCCGTAATAAGGTGGAATTTGCGAATAACACATTTTAGTCTCTTTATTATATATTACCGGTACTGATTTTAGAAAGGATTTTTCATTTTTCCTGAAGCCCTATCCAGACATCAATCGAGGCAAATCTAACGTCATGCCCCTTCTCTAGACGTAGTACACGTGTGTGAGAAAATTGACCAAGTGTTGATGGGAATCGTGATTTAACCAGCATGATAATATTTACTAATTGTAAAAAAACCCTCTACAGTTAAACTTTGAAGTGGGTGATGTTTACATTGTACTCAGGTGTTGAAGTGTTGCATGATGGGTTCGACGACACCTAATGGGCATTAATACTCTAGCACCCCAAAACAAGCCAATCATTAACGTGAAATGTGTGCATAGCTTGCTGGCGTAACCATAGTTACCGTTGTTATACATTGAACAATAACAACTCGAGGACCATTGTTATGAGGCGCGTTGACCTCATCCACTCAATGAATGGAGCAGGTCATCGGATCATTGTGCGCGTTTCAATTATACAGTGCAACATCCACAGTGTTGTAGCTGAGCCCTCACGGTGTACACCGAATCTGACGTAACACAAGACAATATACTGCATATCCGTGCCGTTCTGGGTAAGTTCTAACACCAATTTACG